TAAATATTTGTTTTGTAAAAATTATTCTGTAATAATAAAGAGGAATTATATTGTATGCGTTTTGGATGTTCTATAAAGATTCTAGTGTTCGATTTTGGCACCGAGATGTATATCTGGAGTGGCAAAGGAATCTCAACGGACAAGAAGAAACTCGCTACACAGTTGGCTACAGAAATGTGGAACAACGGATATGATTACAGCGAGTACACCGCTTGTCCGATTAATGCTGCCCGTATGATTGGTAATCGAAACAGTGATTCTTGTATAAGTCCCTCTGCAAAATTCGCCAAAAGCAGACCCGAATGGTGTTTACTTGCCAAATTGACGCAACACGTCGAAACGATATTATTCCGTGAGAAATTCCTCGACTGGCCTAATGTCACCGGTGTGGTAAAGACGCGAGGTCGAAACGATAATACGCGACAAATCGACGGTGCTATAATTGTACATCCGGATGAAAACGATGATATGTGGCTACCAAACTCTTCTTCAGTCGATTTTATTCTAGAAGGCTGTCACTTGGGCAGAGGCACTGGTTGTTATGACAATGAAGTAATTCTTTTTTATTAGCAAAAAGTATTTGCATCTAATATATTAGTAAAAACGGGATATATTAATTTCAAAATTATATTTTGAAATTAATACATCCCGTTTTCAAATTAACCTAACTCCATTATTGCTTTCAATGCATTTTTATCCAGAAGAAAGCAACTCTTTCAATAAACAATAAATGTCCACGATTCACGGGCGAATCCAACGATCAATAATTTCGTTTGATTTGATTTTAGTTGAAGAAAGAATATGTTGTTGTTACAACGAGCGTTATGGTATGGCATATCGATGAATTCTCGCATATGCTTTTAGACGGATCATCTATTGGTCAATTTTATTCTGGTGATAGTTATATCATTCAGTGGACGTATTCCGTTACAATTACTGGTGAGTTATTTATTGAGCAATTTCGTGAAATAGAAGAATTTATCTCAAAAACTTAATCAAATTTTGAAAAAATAAGCATAATATTTTTCTTTTATTGACGTTAGTTTTATATAATTATTACGTGATCTTTATTTTTTGAGCATATGAATTTAAGATAGTTTATGAATAAACTTTTAATTATGTACTTGCTTTTATAAATTTGTTTATTATGCTCTTAGGCAGAGAACTCAGTGGTTTACCATCTAAACACTCAGCAAAAGGTCGCGATAGATCTGTATACTTTATTTGGCAAGGTCGAAATGCATCTTTGAATGAACGAGGGGCCGCAGCATTATTAACAATCGAATTAGACAGCAATCGAGGTCCTCAGGTGAGGACAGTAATGTGCTATCAAATTTGCTTTAAAATTACAGTTTTGTTTGGTCGAATTTATCTTAGTGTATTTAATCATTATCTTCGAATACTCTGGCTATGTTATTACATAATGTTACTTGTAATTTTCAATTTTGAAATTGCTTTCTAAAATTGTTTTCTAAGTGGAAAAAATGTCCTACTTAATATCTACTAAAAATCAAATATTCAAAAATATCAAGAAATATATTTTGTTATTATTGTAAATAAAATTATAATATTTTATTTTATTTTATATACACACACACACACACACACACACACATATTTGCAGGTTCATGTTATTCAAGGACACGAACCAGCCGCGTTTTTAAATTTATTCTCTGGAAGGATGGTGGTGCATAGTGGCAAGAAATCTGAAAAAAAATGTGAGAAACGATGGAGGTTGTATATTTGCCGAGGAACTTTAGAGACTGAGACATTCTTGATTGAAATCCCTTGTAGTACTCGACAATTAAGAAGTAGAGGTTCCTTCATATTACTAAACACCGAAAATGCAAAACTATATATCTGGCACGGAAGCAATTCGTTACGCCATATTAGAGAAGTATATTTTCTACAAATTTTTATAATATATTTTTTTATATATATAATTTATATAATATATGTACACCCGATCACAAAAAGATTGCAACACTTTTTTTGGATTTCGGAATTCAGCCTTGCTCATAAAGCGACGAAAAATAGTTAGATCCATAAAGAACTAATCACTCGGTGAGCAAGTTACATTCTGAAACTCAAGTTACAATCGAAACAAAAATGTTGTAATCTTTCTATGATCGGTTGTACATACATAAATAAAGAGATTAACATTGCGATAAATTTTATACTAGTTATTGAGTTTATACTACATGCAAAAAAAAAACAATATATAAAAAACAAAAGCAATAAACGAATTGATTAATTGAGCAATCTAGAAAATATTTTAATAATATAAAATTATTATTTCAAAATGTTTTAATCATATTATTCTCATTTGCTGCTTAATTTTTATTGTAGAATGGAATAATCATGATTTTTTCTTATAACTTTTTTTCTCGTTTCCTTTTTCATCTTGATTGTTTTCTTTCTTTATTTATCTATTTTCTATGTATCTCTTTTTATCATCTTCGTATTTTTTAGTTTCATTTATCTCTCTAATATTCATTATTTCTTCTGTCTTTTTATAGAATGCGTTAAAAGCTGCAAATAAATTGAAAGAAAATCGACCTGAAGAAATTGGATTATCGAATAAAAATAACATAGAAATATGTGAAGTTCAAGAAGGTATGGAACCTGAAGAATTTAGCAATGGTGAGTAAAGTTTGATGAATGAAAAGTTAACATTTAAACTGATATGATATGAATATAACTTTTAAATTTATTCTACATTGTCATGAAAAAGTTGAGATTGTATCTTGCATTTTTTAGCATTAGGTGGCATAAATAAAAAATTGTATTGGTTGTTGAAAACAGCTGAAATACAAGATCATACTCCAAAGCTTTATCATTTATCTAGTGTTTCTAAAAAATTCCGCGCAACAGAAATACTTTGTCCATATCGTGCGGATCTGCCAACACCGTTCCCTTTCTCACAAGATGATTTGTATCAAGCAAATCAACCAGGTAACAATGCTAAGTGCATTTTATTTTTATTTAATTGTTACTTTAATCAGTTTTTTATAAGAAAAACTATTTATGAAAAGTTTTAGCTAAAAATTATTTATCTATATTGTAATCACTTTTATTGACTCTTGTATAACTTTTAGCGTTATTTTTATTGGATGACAAGAATGTGATTTGGATTTGGCAAGGATGGTGGCCCGATAGTGAAACGGAAGATCAGTCTGGAAGCAAAACTGTCCGATGGCAGGCTGAGAGAAGAGCGACCATGAAGATAGCAATACGATATTGGCGAGAGACTCGAAACAGAGACGCACAAACAACGAATCTTCCAATATATTTAATATGGGCTGGTTTAGAACCGTTGCAATTTACAAATCTTTTTCCGGAATGGACGTATCGGGATGACGTTGCTGAATTAAATATAGAGGTACATTAAGAAAAGGACATATCTTATTTTCTTTTCTGTTCAAACTTTTTTATACTTTTTATATAGTTTATTATTAAAGAAAAAAAAGATAGATTTCAAGATTTTGAAAATGATAACTATCCTATTTTTATATTTTAGATAAAAGAATTCTGTTTAATATATCTTGATCATACTTGATTTTTGTCATAATAAAATTTAAATATGTACACAATGTAATGTATATTTATAAAACATATTTTTAGGATGGCCGGAATTCAGGAGAAGTATTGACTGTGGAAAATGAATTGGCTCGTCTAACGCAAAGTACATATCCTCCTGCCCAGCTGTTACAAAGACCTTTACCTGACGGAGTCGATCCAACATGCCTAGAATTGTATTTATCTCAACAACACTTTCAAGTTAGTATTATCGATTGATCAATAGCAATTGAATAATCATGTAATCGACGAATAATCTACAAATATAAATTAGCAGATATCGGAATGTTTTTGACATTATATATATATATATACACATGTGTGATATTTTGTAATTTATAGGAGTTGCTGGGAATGAGCAAAGAAGAATTTCAACAGCTTCCGATCTGGAAACAAGTGAATCTCAAGAAAGATATAGGATTGTTCTGATGGATCGTTTTAAGTGCGATTAGCAGTAGCTGCCCTTGCAAAATGTTCGAATTTTTATTAACTGTTTCACAATATTTACAACTTGAGAAAAAGGTCTCAACTTCTAAGCATATTTTTCTCGAAACTTTTCGTGTATAGAGAATGAAACATTTCGAGAAACATTTTGAGAATCGATGAATATATTATAGACGATATAACTAATAATATTAATGGAAAATTAAAAAAAATCAATCGATCTGAAAATATATTGTCACACAGTACTATTTGAATTATTACACATATGTATAATAATAGGCGTATGTGTGAACACAGATTATATATTTTTAATACGTGCTACATGTGAAATCTGCTTGCAAACGTTTTCTTTATAATATATTTGTATGATGTTTATATATTGCGAGTGAATGATCGCTATTTTTCGCCTTATTCGTGTAACATCTGTATAAGACGGTTTCTATATAATTTACAATATATTCTCTGCATTTTTAAATAGTATTATGCAAAAAATGTATATTTCAATTTTTTTGTCCTCTTACAAAGACATTTAAAGCAAAACAGATATTTCCATCATTTGAATATATAAAAAAATAACACAATCAACGTTATTCAATTTCAAAAGAGAAACAAAGAGATAACAATGTAAAAACAGTTGATAATTTCCTAGCTTTGAAGATTATCATGTAGTTTTCTTTACATACTTACATGTACATTTAAAAAAAAAATAGAATCAATAATGTTACTTATTTACATATATTGGGAACATTTTGATAGTCGTTTGTACAAATACATATTTACACATTTATAACTTAAATTTGAAGAAATTTACAGTTTTTATACCTAATCTATTTTTACCATTTGCATTATAGTAAAATAATATTTAAAAGAGAAACGAGTAATACGTGTGTGAAAAGGAAAAATTATGTACAAGATGAATTTTTGTCACAAAACTACAGCAGTATAATAGTTGAGACTATTAAAAATATATAAAATACAAGTTCTTAATTTTCAAAAGTGAAAAACTAATTCACAAAAGAATTAATATTTCTTGATAGACTTTCGTATAAGCGCCAATCTTTGTTTATGTGCCTCAGTGACAGTAGCTCGCTTGTATGGACGAACTTCATCTGTACCAAACCCAGGAATCCACATATTCCAATTTCTTCCTAAAAATTAAAATATAAATAGCATTCATATATATTTTTTTCTTGCACAATGTATCATATATATATATATATATATATATATATATATAAAACTTTGTTTTCGAATTGCACTTGCAAAGTTTTATAATGCTAGAAATTTTAATTCAATGTATAAAATCCATACATAAGCAACATTCTCTGCTTTTTTATTTTAAATTTGAATAAAGTTTAATAATATTAAAAGTTTTTCAGCAAGTAAAATAAAAAAATAACAAGTTATTCTGCTGTAATTCATATATAAAGGAAATTTATTATTTATTTTTAATAAATTAATCTTTTTTTTCAACAAATGAGAAAAATGATAGCTATTAGCATAACTCACCTAAGTGTAACTGTACATCTTTAACTTCCACTGTGTTTGCATGACGATGTTTAGCTAACAGACAAGCAGCATTTACTGTTGTTTCCACAAAATCATCTGCTAATTGTAAAAGCATCTCTTCTACCTCTTCATCCAACTGTTCAGTGGGATCTACTTCCCTTACCAAATCTTGTAGTCTCGTTTTTGTTAAAAACTAAAATCAAATAGTAATACTTATGTTACGTCAATAGAGAAAACTTTTATCAAAGAATACTTGTGTTGTCAACAAAGAGAGACAAGAAATTATATCATATAGAACAAAGAACTTGTAAAGAACACACTCGGTATAATATTATATTGTAATAAAAAAAGATATCTCAAGCGTACTGTATACAAATAGTCTACTTAAGGTTTATTTTTTCGTTGATTACCTACTTGTGGAAAATCGCTAAAAGAACTTGGAGTGGATGACTGTTGCACCGATTTCGGAGTTTGGGGAACGTACTGAGTTTGTTGAGATTGCGTTTGTGGTTGTACAGCGGTTGTCGTAGTGCCACTTTGCACGTTAGACAGAACTGATGGCGCCTGATTATTAGGTCCCACAGACTGTAGAGTTCCAAGCACCGGCGTCATTTCCGAGACCGTCGTAGTCGCCGTCGTTGTCTGGACGATAGCACTTTGTTGTGACATTTTGAGAAGCAATGCAGATAATCGTTAATATTCCTTCAGTGGATATATATTTGTGTATTTCCGTTATTATCACTACTTCTTCTTGAAATTGGCCTCTGTTTGGGCTTCCAACAGTTCCAACTCAATTTATTGCCAAAATTTTGTCTTCGACAAAAGAATTAAAACATAATATCACGTCGAAGACAAAATTGTATTGGTAGAATACCAGTTCTTAGCAATCAGATAAATACAAATAGATATCAACAAATTTGATAAAGCAGAGAGAAAAAGGAGCATTTATACTGATTTAACTAGCACTAACCGTTATCATATCACATATCATGTACGCCGATTGCCGCGTGATGGATGGTGGGAAACTGGGAAGCAGTGTTGCCGCGGGTCGAAAAAATATTTCAAATGGGAGCCTGGAAAGTTACTAAAATGTCCTAAAAAGCACCAAATGCTTTAAATGACTAAAAAAGAGAGGAGAGTCTCTATAACTTACAAATCATATGTCAAAAATGTGAGTCATCCGAAAAAATTAATAAGTACACATTTGCCATTTATATTCAGGTATATTTATCCCTGTACAATAATATCACTGGAAACATTTTCCATTTTTCGATACATCTTACCTTAACGCGTGATGACATTAAATACTGGTATTGAAAACTAAAATACAAACTAATTACACAACTCATTGCACTTAACGTCTAATACCTGAGCATTTGTATTTTTTGATGCATCCTTTGGTCTCGGTAATTAAAATATTGGCGATACGATTGTAACAGTCTCCATCATTGTTATAAAATACAGATTGTTAATGATAAAATAATTGTCAAAAACAAATAAATACAATTCTTAAAAACTTGTTACGCTTTAATAATTATGTAACAAGATCGAATACATTATGAATGACAACCGCTCAGTGAGCTCTCAATTAGTTTACTGATTAAGTTAGGTTAGGTTAGGTTAGGTTACAATTGTGTAATCTAAATTGTGCGAAATTTAAAATGAAATCCACGTATAAAAGTAAATTTTCTACTTAAACAGGCTGTTTTAGCGTCAAAAAGGATCACATGATCGAAATTGACGAATATCCACTGAAAACAAAATCAATAAGAGGAGTCGAGGACATCGACATAAAAATTCTGCAAATAAAGAAAGTAATTCACTAAATCATCAAAAGACCTTAAAAATCACTAAAATAATGAAAAATTACTAAAAACGGCAACACTGCTGGAAAGTGGGAACAATGAAGTATTCAGTTTGACCAGAGAGTAACCTAATCGTACACTACCGCCAGTACATTCATTTTCGATTTGGGTACTACGTGGCTACATTTCATTTTCCTTCCAATCATGTCGATAAAATTATAGCACAGAGATATATTGGTGACGTTACCGAAGGAGTTTCTCTACAGTATATAGTTTCCGGGAGCGTACGATGTCAGACGGCATCGATGGCGTCGACTGTTGAGCGTGTTGAGCTGTTCCCGGAGCATGAAGCATCCCGGCCCGGAGTCACTGTCACCCTGCCTGAATAGTCCCGGGTACTGCTGGCGAGTGGTTGGCGAGTGCTTACGAGTGCTGGCAAGTATTGGTCAGTTAGCACTGGTCAGTTTATTAACGTCAACGCTCGCTCGCTCGCAGGCAGAGAGTCGATTGGAGTCGAACGCGATCAGTTCGGTGATATACTGCTGTGGTGGCTCGTAATATGTCATATCGTTGCGTTTTCCACGGAGGATCAGTCGTGGGTGTGTTTGCGACTTTGTGA